TATACGACATCTGCTCACAAGAGAGACAAAGAGAAAGGAAATAAGAAATCACCTCCCAGGGGTGATACCCACGCCATAATCCCTTCACCTTCATTCTCCTCTCAAGATTTTGGGCACGCATGCACAAGCAACCTGCATGAGTTTTAAGCCACCGGGTCCAGGACTTGAACTGTGGTCGAATACATGAGAGTTCAGCTACATAACCATAGTGCTATTTGCTGGTCCCTATTCTATGCTAGCCATCAAGGGAATGGGTGAGACCTGCCCACGTTTTTGAGGACTGATATTCTTTACTTCATCTACTAATTCAGAGGCTAATCTCTTCCAGAAACACCCTCACAGGCACGTCCAGAGAGTGTTTTACCAGTTATCTGGGTACATTCATAAAATAAGAGTATTATTCAGACATAAAAAAGAATGAAGTGCTGTTAGCATAATGGCTATGTCGCTGGACTCCCACGTGGTCGACTGCGGTTCGCGTCCTGGACCCGGTGGCTTAAAACACACGCCGGGTGCGTGTGCGTGCGTGCCCAAGATCCCGAGAGGAGAATGGAGGAGAGGGGATTGCGGCGTGGCCATCCCCTCTGGGGGTTGATTTCTCACTTTCTGTCTCTCTATCTCTCTCTGTCTGTCTGGCGAGCGCATGCACCCTATAGTGAAAAACCCCTCAGAAAAAAAAAAATGGAAGAAGTGCTGATACATCCTACATTAAAAATGAGACATTATGCTATGTAAAAGAAGCCAGCCACAAATGGTCACATATTGTATGGTTCCATTTATATGAAATATCCACAGAATGTAAATCCATACAAAGAGAAAGCAGAGCAGTGGTTTCACAGTCTGGGTGGAGAGGTAATGGGGAGTGACTGCTTAGTGATTATGGGATTTCCTTTGGGGTGATGGAAATGTTTGGAACAAGTTAGGAGTGAAGTTTGCATTTAGTACATTGTGAATACACTAAATGCCACTGAATTGTGTACTTTAAAAAGGTTTCTTAGACATGAATTGTGTCTCAATTTTAAAAAAAGAATGTAATTTGATCCACCTCTGTACTAATCCCAGACATGCCTAGAGAGAATTGTCTAATGTGATTATTCTGTTGATTCACATGTTTCTTGCTCCAGAAGGTATAAGTTGATTATACTGTTTTCTGGTAAGAAAGTTGTAGATTGACAACTCACAGTGACTCATGGTCAGCAACAAGATTTCCAAATTGACAAATACTTACATCTGTAATCCAGGAAAGATATGTTGTCTAGGGCCTCAAACTTTACTTCTATTGCCTAGAAAACCATGTTCTCATGAGAGTCTTCAGGAACAGGGTCTCTGGGATATTGGGAAAAACCAAGTGCATTGACTTCCTGAGTTTTTTCATCTTCATTTCATTTAAAAATATACATTTCTAGTGCTGGCCCCACAGTCTAGTAGTGAAGAGAGCCAGATCCCATATGACTGACTTCGGTTCGAATCCTGGACCTAGAGCTAGAAACATACACTGCCTGACAGGATAGAGAACTGGAAGAGAAAGGATCATGATCGCTCCCCATTGAGAGAGGGTGTCTCCCTCCCTCCTTCTCTCTTTCTCTCTCTCTCTGGCTAGTGCACACACCCTCTGGCAATATGTATATATGTAAGTAAAATACACACATTTCTAAATATCAGTTGGCATGTTTATTCAGTCATGTGTTTATTTTGGCCTCAAGTGCATGAACTGACTCAGTCCTTGTCATATATATGGCATTGGTTCATACAAGGCCCACCCTTGTTTGTCTGATGTATGGTTGAAGTGTTTATCCTGTTTTATCTCCATTTCTCAGGTTTGGATCAAAATGCTCACATGTTTAATGACTTGTCTCCTGTTTATTGGTATTAAATACACATGTACCTTTCCTTTATGTGATTGGTTTCGTGCCCCTTAGTGTTTGTGTCTCGTATTCCCACTGACACTGTGTACATGCCATCCATCATGTCTAGTTGTCATGCCACATGCCCAGGACTCCAAGCTGTGCGTTCACTATACGTTGCCCATAATCCACATTCTCATATAGGTGAAGATGCCTTTCTTCCTCAAGAAGGAAGACATTCCAAAGTGGAAATAGCGTAAAGCATGTGGCTCAGTCTGTGTCCAGTAAATAGCTCTGCAGATAGTTGCTGTACGTGGAAAGCTGAATTCCACATGGCCAACTGTGGTTCAAATCCTGGCCCTAGTGGCTAGAGGGACACATGGGGCACATGTGCCTGAATGCCCAGGATCTTGACAGATAAGGAAATGGTGGAAGGTAGCGGTGTGACCATGCCCCTTTAGAGCGTGCTTTCTCTCTCTCCCCTTCTATTTGGCATGCACACTTTGACAACAGG